TTTCTTTTCACCAAAAAAAAAAGATCAGATGAACATACCTTCTTCCTTTCAACCAAGAGCTTTTACATCCCTTGATAGATATGAACAACTCTTCCCTCAGGGTAAAGTACCAAGGAAAGCCATGCCTGGCCTGACCTAGAAATTGCAAGTCAAATAGAAGCTCGACAGTAACATCAGCAAAGCGGAAAACCTACAGAACACATTAAGCATGAGGTTGGGGAAAAACAAGGGAAAGCCAAATCTATTAAGCAAATAGAACCCTATTTAGTTGATGAAATGAAATATACAATTTTTAAACTTACCACAAACCTGCAACCTCTGTGACATTATGAACAGCAATACTTTTTGGAGTAATTTCATGAGAAGTTAGCCACCTAATATTTCAGGAAATGGAAAACTGGTTAAAGTTGAAATAAGGTATAGAAATCTAGTGTGTATCTGCATGAGTTTTTATCCATAGACACATAACTTTGTTTCAATGAGGACAAATACTCAGTTTGATGGCACTCTAGTATCCTCCACCATAACTTAGATGTCGATATAACCACTGCCTGATTTCATATATGAGTTCATAATATATATGCATTCTTAAAGAGAGAGAAAGTTATACTTACATCATTACTCCTATTCTGCACGACACCACCTCACCAAATAAAGTGTTGCTGCCTCTGTGACTAACGCATGGCTCCAATTAGCCACACTGAATATAATAGAATCTATAAAAAATAATTTTCAAACTCAATATGAAAAGAAAAGAATTAGTTACACTAACATTAAAGGGGAGGGTAGTACATTGTGCCAATGAGAATAGTAGTCAAAAACCGAGTAACATCACTGCCAAGCATTTTAAAGACACCATTATCAGGCTCTTTTTCTGCCAATTCCCAAACCTGATTCAGAATGATATGAATTGGCCAATTAGAACAAATAAAACTATTTAAAGAGATGGCAATCATCTACTTACACCAAAAAGTACCATATGATGTTTCAGGTAACATCTTTTATGCTGAAACAGGTAATGTCGTTTAGAATTCAAAGAGCTTGTGCTTATTTTATCAGTCCATATATTCTCATTCAGGTATCCCTCAACCTTAGCCAACTAAAACCTAAAAAAGAAAAAGTATTCCCAACACCTCAACGGAACACAGTCTAATATTATACCCAACATAATATAGTTGGACTTTATAAGTACATATGATAAAGCAGCACTAGAATAAATAAAATTAAATAATTTGCTCTTCACAATAATAACACAATGTGTAATAAATTGCTCTAGACTCCATAAAGCACCAACATCACAATGACACCAAACTAAGCTAATAGACTTCCAAACACTTAAATGCATAATTTTTAACATCACAATTACATAAACATTAAATAAACACAGACTAGCTCAAGAATTTTATACCTTCCAAGGCCAAAGCGTGGCAATAGACGTCTCAGCCATTGAAAGAACGCAGACAACCCCAAAAGTGCAGCCAAAACCAAACCTTGCTCTTTAAACACTCTCAAAACCTGAGGAACTTTAGGCCAGGCATTCTTCAACAACAATATGCTCTGTCCAACAACTCCATACCTGCATTTACTACACTCTCCACAGCAAAAACTCTCTTGCAACCAAACACCAAAACCCCACAAACAAGCGCCCCTAAAACGACTCCCCTTTTCATCAAAATCTTAACTTTCTCTAAATTTGAATCTAAAACTTCATTTTTTTAACGACCCAGTTCTGCAGTGACTTTGTTTATTGGTTACACGTGGGTTCTAGTGTCGAAAATTTTGTTTTTTGGCAATCCAGAAATGTGAAACTTTGGATAGTGATGAATTCTGGGTGAAATCTTGACAGGAAATTGAGAACATCGATTTTGGTGGCGGAAAAACGAGTTTTTATTGTTGGAACGAACGTGGGTCCATTGAAAACCGAAGATTCAAGAGCAAAATCCATGAAATATGAACAAAAATGAATCAAAAATGGAAACTTTGATAAATCCCAGCAAAAATAATTGGAGGAAAAAGAAACCCAGAATTTTAAAGTCAAGAACTAATGGGAAATTCCGTCAAAATTTGAGATATGTACAAGAATTTATGGGGTTTTGGGTTGAGTTTATTAGTGAAAGTGAGAAATGGAGAAGGGAGAGAATATAGGGTTTTGCAGAGGGTAAAAGAGGGAGAAGATTTTGGGCTATGGTTGAAATGGAAGATTCAGAGAAGTGAAAGTGGAGACTTCCATAGTTCCATTTTCAATATTTGGTTTGGTAGTTTGATTGGTATTGCAAATATACTAGGATTGGCCTGAGTAAGTTATAAAATTACAAATATATCCTTATTTTTTTAAATAACGAAAGAGGAAGAAAAATAGGTTAATTGATTGTTTAATTATTTTTTAATAGTGGTCAATAAACTAATTTTAACCAAACTAAGTGGATTGGAGACTCCTTGACTAATTTAGTGATTTTTGTTGAAGGATGAATGATTTGTGCATTTTTGTGGGAATGTAGATGTGTCTTTTTTATCTAATTTAATAAATTTTTTAACAAAATATAACACAATAGGACTAAACAGATTTAGAAACAAATATGTAAAGCACAAAGTTTCTTCAATATCAGGATCAAAATTCAATAACCTAATAGCAAAATGTTCAGGCCGGCAAAAGTTCTACTCATGCAAAAAGCTTAGAAATAAAACACTTACAGTAGGACTAGTAAATGTAGCAGAAAAAATATAAGCTTACCATCAATTTGAAGTACTTCTCAAAACAAATAATAACAAACAAATTATTTTTGCTAGTAAGACTTGAAGCACTTTTCATTTATGCTTTTCTGGAAAATGTAGCTTTATCATGAAAACTAGCAAAATAATAGACTGCTGAAAGATAATATATATAGAATATGCTGATTCAATTAGTTATGCTCCTTGCTCTTGTCAAGTCCTAACCCTGAAAAGAAAGAGAACGTTTAAAAATTAAGGTGGAGTTATATTCAAATTCTTGGTAAGCATAAAAATATATTCTCTAAAAATCGAAGCAATCACCTTGTTAAGAGCAGCACTTCAAGTATTAATTTCTTCTTCTTTGAGGGTTCTCTTCACTTTTGTTACGATTCTGAGTCTCATCTTTCAACCATTATTAAACATAGAAATTTTCCTATTGTGAATATAAGGTTGGTGTTGGTTCAAATTTGGGGTTTTGAGAAGTTTTTGAAAAAAGTTAAAAAAAAGTTGAATTGGGCAGGTATTACGAGGTAAATTTTATAAATTAATAAAATCTCCTTTTGTTTATTTTTTACAAAATACCCCATATATAAACATTAAAAGTTAACAAAAATATCCTAACCCACCTCAAACACCCCAGCCGGCGATCACCACCGGAGGTGGCCGGAGTCGCCGTATGGGCGCATGACCGGTTGGATCTTGCCGGTCATGCGTGCTATGGCCTTTTCCGGCCAGATCCGGTGGATTGGCCGGAAAAGGCCAGATTACGGTCAGATCTGGCCGTCAACGGCCAGATTTGGCCGTTTTTGCTCTAACGACGGCCAACAAACGTCGTCGTTGATGGTCAACGACGACCGTTGTTGTGCCGTCGTGACGGAGTGTTACGGCCAAAGATCTGGCCGTCAAAGGCCAGATCTTTGGCCTTAGACTGGCCTTTTTGGCCAGATCCACCGTGGATCTGGCCGAAAAAGGGAGATCGGCTCATGCGGCCAGATTCAGCCGGTAGTGCGCCATTCTACCAGATTTCGGCCATTTTCCGGTGGTGGTGGCCGGAATCTGGTAAATGTGGATTATTGGGGTGTTTTTGTAATTTAAAAAAATATTTAGGGGTATTTAATTAAATTATCAAATTTAAGGGGTTTAAAAAAAGTTGAATAATTTTGGGAGTAGTATTCCCAAAAATCTGAATTTTTGGGTATTTTACTGTTTAACTTTTTTGGGAATACTAAAAGTAGTATTCCCAAATGTGAAACAAACGCAGCCAATATCTCCCATAGGCAAACTTATTACCAATTCGCATCCGTAACTCATCAAAGAGAATTTCCAATCAAACCAGCTCAATTCATCATCTCCTTCGTGGTTGATGGATGGTATTGGTGATGGTGGCTCATCTTCCCCACATTTCTTTGACAACGGGAGTCCACACAACCCAAACTTTCCAATGTAGGAATCATTTTGAAATGTATTAAATTTATTTCCTTGAGGTATAGAGCCTACGAGTTGGTTGTATGAAAGGTTCAACATATAAAGAAATGATAGATCTAGACTTGCCAATTGATTATGAATCTCTCCTACAAAGCTGTTGAAAGAGAGGTCTAATGATTCAAGCTTGGTCAAATTTCCAAGTGATGGTGGGATACAGCCTGTTAATTTGTTTAATGAAAGATTGAGGTTTAGAATAGAATGAAGCTCTCTGATTACTTAAGCAATGAATAAGAACAAAGAACTCCCAGAACAGAATTTGCAGAATAAAAAATAAACATTAAGATGAATTTGGATCAAGCATTTATGCACTCCAGGAAAATCATGTACAAATTTCTTAATTGCAGGGTTAAAGTGCCACCACGGGAACAACGACGGACGGTTTGCCACTGCAACCTCAGCTGAAATGGCAGCAAGATTGCAAGAAGTGCTCCCTTCATGAGTTAAATGAAGTTTATTATATTGAGCAAATTAGAGGAGATTGGTTTAATTGGCTGGCTAGTTCTTTTGTTATTATCAAAACTTTTGCTTCATAAGAAGCATCATCTAGTTATATTACATTAATAATAATACCATTTTCTTTTGTTTAAAATTTTATGGATTGTTTTGATTAGATTATTTATTTTTAATATTTATTAATTTACACAAATTTATTTAAATCATAATATATTTATGTGAACATTAATCCAGACACAGAAATACATACAACCCGAGCAAAGTGGACCTTAATGGGCTCGTATGTCATGCAGGCTAGGCCCAAACCTGAGCCTTAGCTCAGAAGGAAGGGAAAGGGAATGGTTAAGTTGGATAGCAAAAAATAAATGAAAAGTTCACCTGAAGTAATACAAATATTTTCCAGCTTCTCAACATTCATTAAAACTTACACCAAGAAATGAATGAGGCATGATTTTTTTGTACAATATTCCGGAAAAAACAAAAAAGAATGAATTAGAATCAAAGTACACAATGCATACAATGCGGTTTACTCACATTATCGACCTCATTTCCAGCCAGTTTTGGTATGAAGACGGAGAATATTTTCTATACGGAAATGTAAATACTCTTACAGTCTTACTCTTCATCCAATTCAAGACCTGGTATATAAACCAAATTCACGTCGAAAATTACTGGACTACTTGGAGCCACCCTTGGCCTTCCTGGGGCTGAAACGAGGCCTTTAGGAAAGGCCAGCTATCACAAGGAAGAAACAAAAGGGCAGAAAGTTAAAAGTGTAGACATAGTGGCATTATTTCTTCAAAATATGGATTTCTTTTCTATCGCCAGTACGACATTTCGAAAAAGAAAATAAAACCTCTTAAATTTTGAGGCAATTCAAAGAGTTTTAAATATATAATTGAGCTCAAAAAAAGACATAGTTCATATATATGCCATGACTCAATTTGTTTTATTTTCTCTGCAAGTTGATGTGCCACTCATTTCTTCAAGTAGCATATATATTTATTTATTAACTACTTGTAATCGGAGACCATGGCTTTATGCAACTCATCAACCATTAGTAGAGTTTTTAGAAATTACCTGTCCAGGAATATAAAGTCGGCGCGTCCCTCCAACTTTCATGGTCAGTATTCCTTCGTCAAGCCCCTTGATCACCTATTCTAGGCATTCAAATTAACAATTAGCAATGCCAAGAAAACACATGATCAACATAAGACATTCTTCTGTCAAAAATGTGGTTCTAGTTCCTACTTCCTATTATAATCTCCAGATTTTGACAATGTGGCAGGGTTACCTTGAAGATGAGCTGCACTCAAGTTTTAGTTGGACATTTTCTACTCATTGACCTCAGCATGCACAGTTTAAAAAATTTACCATACTATCACTATTGGGTCATTGTTAATTATTATCTGATAAAATTAAGACCGCGTCTCTTTGTGCTCTCTTTGGTGACCATTAAGGCGGAGAACTGCCGAATCCAGTATCAACTACTTAGTCAATTTACCGATGACACGCTAGGTATACAGTACAGAATTAGAGTTTGATAGTTGATACTGCAAGAACAGGCAGTATGAGAACAAAACCTGCTCAGATGAATACTATATTGTTAAGTAACAAAATAAAAAAAAATAAAAAAATCATTTTTTTTTAAATGACCTTAACAAGTTAGATAAAAGTATCTTAAGTATGAATTGATTAATTAGTGACTAATGGACTTACCTGACCAGAGCCAACACGAAAAAGATATGGCAGACCTTTCTCCAGTGAACTGTGATATCAAGAACAGAAAGTTTAAAGTAAGAAATTAAGAAAACGTATCTCATTAGAATTCTCAAGTACCATTGCTGACAAGAGCAGAGGCACAAGTTTTCTAGTGAGAGGCTAACACAAAATAGCCTTAACTATCAGACTTTTTATGTAAAAACATTCCAAGATTGGATCCTCTGATAGACCGTAAAGTCAAAATCCACCAGAAAGCAGATATGGTACCTATTGAGGATAAGTTAAAGATTGTAAAGACGGTTCAGGCATTCTGAAAACTGATCTGTGGATACTGGGTTAACCTATTAATTTGATCCATGAATTAAAGATGAAACGAGGAAACAATAGAGAAAGTATGACATGGGTGTAAATAGTGACAAAAGACCAAGATTATAAACAATTTATAAATGGTTATGCATAAGGTGGAATGGAAGAAGAAGAGCATTCATATAGGAGATGCCAACTAGTAAGCAACTGAGACCTTACAAGTTAAGTTGATCATATCAACAATGAAATCACTAACAGAGGGTCAAATATTTACTGGCTAAACCTGTGGTGATATTGCAGATACACTTGGTGGACAATTGTAGTTAATCCAGATCTTCTACTTGAATGCTATATATGAATTACCAGGGTGAACTTATAAGACTTTGGTTGGTTAAATGCAAAATAATCATAGTCAAATTATATAAGAAATGAAATTATTTGCATTCTAAGAAACTAAAATAAGGATTATTCGAATATTCATGAAATGAATATACTTACCTATCAAATATCTGTCCAGAAGGAACCATAGCAACATAATTAGCGGCCACCTGTGAGTACAGAGCCGTTGATGTAAGGTCTCAATACTAAATGAAGCAACAAAAGAAATGTAATGGTGGTGGTCACTCAGGAAACCCACCTTTCTCCATACAAGGATTTGTCAAGCTATGATATAGTTGTTTAACATGTATATTTTTCAGCATTGGTCAAATGGGTCCAATGATCAATTAATGTAGTTAAAAATGGATTGAATGTACAATATACTTCACAAACTGAAGTAAACAGCCACTTGTGTAGATTGAGAAGGGATAGGGAATGAAAGATTATTCAGGAACCAAGTTCAGAAAAGGACAAAAGAATGATATTCTCAACAGACAGGTTAAAATGAGGTGGAGCTAGGAAACAGGAAACTAGTAGTGCAATTACCTATAGCTCTTTGCTTGATAAAATATTTAACTGAAAAGACACATAGGATATGGGCAAGAATCTGATGGAATTTATAGCCAACATTAAAATTTTCATCATCAGCTAAATTAGCATACATGTAATCTGTCATCACATTAACTAAATTGAGTGGCTGCTCAAGGTTTTCATATCTGGGATCAACATCATAGTCCTGTTAGATTGAAGATTAAAAAAAAAAAAAANTTTTTTTTTTTTTTTAATGAATTTGGTTTTTCTTATTACATATAGTAATTACTATAATATGATTTAAAACCTATTTGATTGGGTTTATTACAATTAAGCATTTTTTAAAATTTTGTAGACTGTTTAGTTGATAGGTTATAAATAAATTGTTTTAAAGTTTATGAGAAGAACTCAAATTTGGGGCTTTTCCCATAAGCTTTTTTTGAGTTTATTTAAAATATTAGAAAGTTCTTTTACAATTTCTTGACCAAACAATTAACCAATTTTTCACAAAAGCTCTACTCTTATAAACTTTTATCAAATAAGCTCTTCTTTCACAAACTCTATTCAAAGATGTCGTACCAAAAGGACTTTAATTAATTAAAATAAACTTGTATACAAAAATTTGTCCAAAAAAAAAAAAAAGAAAACCAGATATTAATTTGAATTTGTATTATCTCAACTCAAAGTAAACAATGAAGCAAATGTTATCCCATGATGCTGTCTTTTATGGTTCATGCAATTGCATAATATGGATTTCATTAAACTTGTTTGATGAAAGGTGATAATAGAAAGTAAATCTCATTAATTTGATTAAATATAGATATATGTTATATAAAATATAAAAAAAAGTGATGAACATAATTGATCCAAATTGGAATTATATGTATTTATAGCTTGAGTAATTTTAAAATTTTAGATTTTACTTAAATACACTACAAAGTTACTTTGTGGTTTTGTTCTTATGTTTTAAACATAAATGAGATAATGAAAGAGGAGAAATTGTGTGGCCAAATTCTCATATTTATGAGAATGCATCAGTGGCTATGTGTCCCAAAATAGTCCCTTAAATGATACCGTCTCCTACCTAAGACACTTCCCCTTCACCCTCCTGCCCCATCTATGTCCTTTTCATTAATAATTTTTCAATTTCACCTTTTAATATTATTCAAGAATTTACCAAAATAATAAAAATAAACCAAACCAATGAATTTAACTTTATACAAAATAGAAGACGTAAGGGTGAATCCAGGAAGTTTCTTCGTGGGCCCAGTCCCAGCCCACCCTCACAGCCATCAACCCTTTCTTCATTTTCAAGAGTCATTCATGTGAAAACCACCCATTTTATAATTTTTTTTTAATATTAAAATTTTATTTAAAAATCATTTATAAAATTAAAATAAAATATATAAATGGTAAAGGACTTGTTGTTTGTTTGTTGAGAAGAATGACGGGGGAATTATTCTTGAGAAGGTTGGAAGGCCAAGATGGAATATTCCAAAGTTTAGGTGAAGAAAAGACTTATAATTTATTACGTATTCAATAAATAAAAATATCTAAATGGATGAACTTGAGATGGGTTAATTAATTATAATGAATATTTTCACTATATATCATTATGTTATTTGGTGGTGGCCCCGGTGGGTGAGGAAGAAAATTAAAGCATTCATAACTAACAGTCCATGGTCAAAGACAAAGGTATTACTATTTTCATGTGATGATAAAAATTTCAGATACATTCACCACTTTTACTTTCTGGCTTTTTATTTAATTTCTAGATTCATGTAATAATATTTGATTGGATGATAATTATTTTAGTTGATTTCCCTTTTGTAAATTATGTAATATTCAATGAATTGAGGTTCACCCATGATTTAAAATATCATTTATGAATATTAGTATTTCATTTATTATAATATTTTTGGAAGTTGGAAATTCGGAAAGAAGTGATGTTCTTATTTTATTGTTGAAAAGAATCAGACAATTCAAATATTGTTTTAGACATTCTATATCTAAATCATGATCAAATCTTAAGCCTTGAGACAACTTATTCACAATTAAGTAAAAATCTCAAATTAGAAACTAACTATAAAGGATCTTTGATGAATTTTAAGGCATAGAAGATTCACTGGATTTTAAGTTCAAACTTAAGAGTTCTCTTCGAAATACCCTTCTCTTTACACATGCTACTTATTTTGTACCCTAATAATGTATATTTAATGTAAACGTAATGAGTAAATCTTCAACAATAGCTACATTGATTTTAAGAATTCATTGCTTCGAAACTCCACGAAGAAGGAAACCATGTATTTGATTTCATTGTTCAAGTATCACTGTATTTGTTGTTTGGAAATGGACTTCAATTATTGGGCCACAAAATATGATGTTTAGGCCCCAAATGAAAAAAAAAAAAAAAAAAAAAAAAAAATCCCCAAACGACATGAGAAACAAACAAAACGACATGAAAAAAATTTGGGAAGCTACTCTATCAGAGCCAGGTTTCGATCCTGGGACCTGTGGGTTATGGGCCCACCACGCTTCCGCTGCGCCACTCTGATTGTTGAATTTTGTTTGCAATATCATATAATTATACATTATATTACAGCTATAATTAACTACATTTATTACTATCATGAGGTCATACTTTAAAAGAAGTATAATTATAAAAATGAGTGTTTTGATTTCTGATTTTATAATTCATGTTTTAGCAATATATTATTAGAATTTCAATTCAAATTTTAGTAGTATTAAGATTTCAATTCAACACTTCAATTGCTTACTTTTGAAACTGATAGAAGATCATTTTTTTTGAATCAGCAAAGATAAATGTTCTTGATAGAATTGTAAATATAGTTGATGTATGATCAATTGATACGAAGCCACATACAATTGTCAATTGTTTTAAGCATTGCAAAATTAGGACCCACGATGTCAATGAATTGCAAGCTACAAATCAAGTGGATGAAGAGAATAAAAAAAGTCATTACAGAATTGAGATCCAACAACTTCATTACACTAATCGAATAACTATTAATGTCTTCCTCGATCATTTAAATAAGCAACAAGTTATGTATGCTTTAACTAAAGAAGAAATCATTATTGTGATTAGAAAAGAAGAGAAATGAAATAATCATAAGGGTGATAGTATGAAAATACAAAAAGTTTCATACCATGAAGCTCTAACAATACTTGAAAAGCTAAAAATATCACTACAAGGAAAATGACCCTTCTTGACGGGGTGTCAAGAAGGAGGTACAATGACAGTTTTTGAACTGTCATTGTAGCCCTTATCAAGAAAGGGTCATGATAGTTTTCGAATTGTCAAGGACCTCTTAACAGATCCTTGACAGTTCGATAACTATCAAAGATTTAACAGAACTTGATCAAAATCCTTGACAGTTAGCTAAATCCTTAACAGTTCAATAACTATCAAGGTTTAGCCGAATTTTCAATTTTTTTTAGAATGTTAGCCAAATTGTTAACAATTTTCACAGTGTCAAGATTTCGTTTGTTAATTTTTTTTTTTAAATTAATGAAATTTCTTTATTATTACATATTAAATTATATAATATTTGAATGAAATCTTTCATAATATTATGACCATTCAACAATATGTAATGAGACATCGAACAATTGATCGAATAATACATATATTACTATTGCTCTAAGTAAACAAAATTGAACAACAGTACATAAATTTTACAATATTGCATAAACAATAATGAAAAGTTTGATACATAGTTTTTGCCCTCATTGGCCTCTAACATCACTGAAACAACAATGACTAAAAAATGTTTGATACGTACATCGCCCATTCTCCTCTGACTTCATCAACCTCTACATCTTCGTATATTTCTTTCCCATGAACTGCTTGTTAGCAACCCTAAGTGTTCATGTCAATAGCAACAAGAACCCAATGAAACCTATTAACAAAATTGCATAAGTACCCAACATAACAACCACAAAGAAGCAATAGAATAATCACCCAACAAGAGTTAATCAGCCCAAAACAAACCAATAAAACTGAAATTGAATAAATATTAATGGCAGCCTATATCCTGTGCACCCCTAACTTAGATGTCAACCATAACCACTGTTTGGTATTTCAATATGAGTTCATAATATTGCTGCCCTTAAAAAGAGAGAAAGTTATATTCTTACAGTCATTACTCCTGTTGCTGCCCTGACACCAGCCTCACCAAATAAAGCTGTTGCTACCTCTGTGACCAATGCAGTGGCTCCAATATTTGCCACACTGAATAGGTAAATAGAATCTATAAAAGAATTAATTTTCAAACTCAATATGAAAAGAAAAGAATTAGTTACACTAACATTAAGGGGGAGGGTAATACGTTGTGCCAATGAGAATAGTCGTTAAAAACAGAGTAACATCACAGCGAAGCATTTTAAAGACTCCATTATCAGGCTCTTTTTCTGCCAATTCCCGCACCTGAATCAAAATAATATCAAATGGCCAATTAGAACAAATAAAACTATTTGAAGAGATGGCAATCATCTACTTACACCATAAAGCACCATATGATGTTTCAGTTAACATCTTTTATGCTGAACTAGGTAAAATATGGTTTAGAATTCAAAGAGCTTGTGCTTATTTTATTAGTCCATATATTCTCATTCGGTTATCCCTCAACTTCAGCCAACTAAAACCCAAAAAAGAAATAGCATTCACAACACCTCAACGGAACATGGTCTAATATTATACCCAACATAATATAATTGGACTTTATAAGTAGATATGGTAAAGTAGCACTAGAACAAATAAAATTAAATAATTTGCTTTTCCAAATAATAACACAATGTGCAATAAATTGTTGTAGACTCCATAAACCACCAACATCATAATGACACCAAACTAAGCTAATACACTTCCAAGACCAGAATAATAACAAACACTTAAATGCATAGTTTTTGACAACACAATTACATAAACATTAAACAAACACAAACTAGTTCATGAACTTTATACCTTCCAAGGCCAAAGAGCGCAGACAACCTCAAAAGTGATGCCAAAATCATTTTGTTCAAGCTCATTTCATTATCATTTTGCACAGTCTTGAATTGCTGGTTACCAACCTAAGTGTTCCCCGAGATATGTAATACACCTTTCCCAATTGGCACCTGTCATAGAATTTCCTTGCAGCTTCATTTTTGCTTGTATTTGTGTGCCCTGCACCAAACAGATCAATTTTAACCATTCATCACTAACATGTTAAAAGATAATAATTTAATTAAAGAATAAAAAAATACAACCTATCGCCAACCCTTTGACAAGCCAAAGAGCTACGGAACAACCAAAAAAGAGTCAGAAAGAAAGATATCCAAACCTGGTGCCCAGCAACAAAGCAATCTACAGCAGAGCAAAAAGCACTCTAGATTGCTAAAAAAAAAAAACAGCAAACCCTTTACACGGACAGCGTATCCACAAAACCAGCAAAAAAATGCTGCCCCCTGAACTCAGCACTACAAAAATAATCTATAAAACCCAGCAATCCAAGACAAAAAACAAATTCCTGCTGTATAAGATTTTAGCACTATTATCACAAGCAAAAGGAAGGGAAAAACATATAAGCAATGATCCATTCTGTTGCACTCCCAGCCCTACACAGTGACAGCAAAAATCAAAATATAAACAGCCATATACAACTGCTGTCCATTCTAACCAGTGCAACAAAACCCCAGTAAATTTCAGATCTGCATAATCACCAAAATAACCATCTAGAATGCAAAAGAAAAAATTATCAAGCAGACCACTATACTGCCCTTTATATATATAGATTCTGACTGCAATTGCACCAGCCAACACAATATTTGGTAACTCCCAGCAGCTATTAACCATCCCAACACAATCACCAAACCCATCAGCCGCACCAATCCTTATATTACGACTACAAATAGACAACCCATACATCTCCTGCCTACGAGAAACACCCCTAACATTATTATAATTTCACGTTTACATGACCCTAAAGGAAAAATTGTTTACGCAGATTAACTTTTTGACTTACATCTTGATCTGTTAACTCCACATTGAAGACACACCCTTCTCCTCTTGCATTCCTGTAAGTACGCCTTTCCCTTTGCTTGTATCCAATTGCCTTGGTAGGGATTCAAGGAAACAAGAGGGTGAACTCTTCTAGTCATAGCCATTCGGGCGGCAGGAGCCATACTGAGATTTGGCAAACAAAACATCAGCATTTAATTACCTATGCCAAAACCCAACAAAATACACAACATTTGGGTTACATTAAACAAAAAGGAAAAATACTCACTTTCCATGCTGTTCAAGAACTATTTGTTGACATGTGACAAACCATATTTAGGAGATGTGTAGTAGTCTCTAAATATGTAGTTTAGGTAATTACCTTGTATGTGTTCATCTACATTTATTTTCTTTATTTGGTTTCCTTACATATAACATTTATAATTGTATAAATTGTAACTTCTGGACAGGAAAAGATATATACAAAAATTATTCTCTTTCTCTTCTTCCTTGCTAGTAATTTCTCGGCATACTCAGCAACTTTGATTGCTTCTCTTGCCTCTCTTGCACTCTTTGGTAACTTAGTTGCCTCCTCGTGCTTGCTACCACACCAGCTTCTTACATAGTATCAGAGCAGGTTATCCTGCCAGCCACTCTCCTTGTTACGCACCAATAGTTCGTTTTTTTTCCTGCAAAACAAATTCAAGAGTTAATCTTCCAAACCAAACAAACCCAATTGGGCCTGATCCAACAAACAGCCAACCCAAACCCAAACCCAAACCCAAATCCTCTCCCAGACCCGAACACTTTTCCTTTTGGGTTTTCGGGTCAAACTGGCCCGAGCCCGTTTCCCTACCAATTCCAGATTTTCCAGCCTCCATCTCGTCGGTCGGAGCCCGGCGACCCCCTGTATTCCTCCTCATCCGATGGACCAAAACTTGTTTTGGTCAAACACGTTCTCACCGGCACCGAAAACTATGCGACCTGGGCTCGTGATTTCCAGCGGGCATTAATCGCAAAAGATAAAGACGGATTTATCGATGGCACCGTCACACCACCGGAAGAACCCCATCTCCACAAATTTTGGACCCGATGTAACATGTTGGTTCGCTCGTGGATCGGCAACTCCCTGACCCAGGAGATTGCCATTGGTTTACCCCCAACTGAAATCGCCGAGGAACTCTGGCGATTTATCAAAGAAATGTACGGCCAGTTGAATCTGGCCAAACTCTTCACTTTACGGCAAAACCTTGCCGATGTCAAGCAACAAAACCAGACCGTAACGGCCTATTACAATCGACTCTCAGCCCTGTGGAACGAGCTCGATGCCGTCACTAATCCTCTCCGTGGACCACCGGAAACCCTGCAACAATTCCACAAGATCAAAGAACAGGATCATTTAATCCATTTTCTCCTTGGATTGAACAAAAAAATTTTGGCCTTTCGCACCCAGATGTTGGCCGCAACCTCACCGCGATCCCTTCACCGGGCGTACCAGCTTGCTGTCCAGGACAAAAGCCAATGCTGAGCCACCATGGAATCACCACAGTTGGGTGATTCCATGGCCTTCGTTGCAAACAGAGAAAAAAAAGGTGAAGAAGTGTTGCGGCTAGGGTGTTCAAATGAGAAAGAAAGCCCTTTTTTATACAAAGTCGTTAACGGCAACGGTCGCTCCAGTAATCTGACGGTCCACAAGCAATCAACCAGGTCAACAGTCAACCCGGTCAAACCCTTGGCAATTCATCTAATGGCCCATATTTTTTCAACTCTCACCATGGCTCAAATGGTTCCGGATCATTCCGATCGAGTAAAAAAATGTATTGTGACTACTGCAAAAGGCGGAATCACAATCGGGACAGATGTTGGAAATTATATGGTTACCCTAAGAATAAAATGGGCCCTCCGATCGCTAATAGTGTGACTGTCACTACCACTTCAAGATCTGAGACTCCATCATCCTTGATCAAACCTGAACAAATTGATGCGTGTTTCCTACAACATGCAAAATGTAGCAAGTATACTAATCGCTCAAGTAATAAAGCGATAAGTGAGTATCATTCCCACGAGGACTGCTAGCTAAGCACTAAATATCCTACTGTTCTCAAGTTGGAGCAATCGATTTCTTTGGATTGATGGGAGCTATTTCTAATTAAAACTGAACAATAAATTTTAAACTAAAATTAACTATGAATGCAAGATGAAAAACACGGATAGAATCAATTCAAGTAAAACGGGTAGGGTTTTGACTTCATTCGGATTTTATGGGTTAAACCTAAAAATTAAACTACATTCACATTCATATGCATTAGTTGTAAATCGAACTCACTAAGGTGTTAAACATACCTTCTCAGGCTATGTTTTCCTATTCTTCCTTATTAACTTTCCGCACCCAACAATTTGAAAGTTAACAATTCCAAACTCATTAAGTATAAGAATCCTACAATGATTTCATTAATTCTTGAATCTATCTCTAGCATCCAATACTATAATGGTGATTAATCAAGAAGCCTACCATGATTCATTTCTCAATATCATCATGTTCATCACATAAAGCATTAAAACTCAGAGCAAACACACAATCAAAGCATAGTCATATGAACATAAAACAATCAATAACTTAACCCATTAAAATCCGAATTATAATCAAAACCCTAACCCAAAATGGGTTAGTTCATAGCTAAATTAACACTACAAAAACGAAAAACAATAATATTCAAGTTCAACATAATGAAAGTAAGAGAAAGGACAAGAAATCTCCCCAAATGATGAATCCCTTGGTTCAAAATCAAATCTTCACCCTTCTAATCGCTAAATCTCTCCAAGCTTAATCAAAGAAAATGTAAAAGCTGCTAAATCTACTTCCTAGACGACGCCTCTCAAAAAGGCTAAGTGTTTCTTTTATACCTCGCCCAAAATCCAAAGAAAAACACACACAAAGTAAAACTGTGCATTTCACAAAACTAGAATTTATGACCGTCGCTGCGGCGAAGAACGAATAGATCTGGTGCGTGACTGGCTCACATCGCCGCGGCGAAGTACAAATCTTCGCCGCAGCAAAGCTTCTTGAAAAGCTCTGAAATTACAAAACTATAACTCTGCTTGCATCTTCGCTCGATTCTTTGATTCTCTGTACTCTCCCTTTGGAATAAGCCTCATCGTGCTTTATCCTACATCAGAACTCTCCTAGCTTCTAAGATCCGCTAACTTCTGAGTCAAAAATTTCCAATTTTGTCCTTATTTGCTCAAAATGTCCATTTTAACCTGAAACACAAAATGTAAAGAATTAAGCAACAATTCAGGTCAAAATGCACTAGAAAGTACCTGAAATCCGATTAAAAAGTCTAATGAAAACTGTATAATCCACGGATTATCACAAATCACTCAACTCATCCAGATGTTGAATCAAATCCTAACAAACAACGCTTCCGCAAGTTATGCAGGTACATCTTTTTGTTTCAGTAATTCAATTTCCTGTGATTTATGGATTATTGACTCAGGTGCTAGTGATCACATCATTTGTGACCCTAAATATTTCCAATCACACACAAACACTGTTACACAATTATTTGTTCGAATGCCAAATGGCAATATTGCCAATGTAACCCACACAGGGATAGTCAAACTTATTGACAGCATAACTCTCCGAAATGTCCTTTTTGTTCCTGCTTTCAATTTTAATCTCATATTTGTATCCAAAATTTGCACTGACAATAATTGCACATTGCAATTCCTTCTGGATATGTGTACCTTTCAAGACCCTTTGACTGGCAAATAGATGGGCTTGGGTAAGGCCCACCAGGGACTTGACTACTGGGAGCCATTTTCTTTTCTTAGTAATAAAAATTATTGTAATGCCAATTTTAATAATAAATCTCTGGTTTTTCATCAAAGACTCGGTCACAGTGCATCTATACCTCACTCTCATTGTCCAATTTGTCCCATTGCTAAACAACCACGGACGAGCTTTCCCATCAGCACATCCTCCATTGACCACCCTTTTGCCCTAATTCATCTTGATATCTAGGGCCCATACTCCGTCCCTAATCATGATGGATCCAGGTATTTTCTTACCATAGTAGATAATTTTTCTCGCAGAACCTAGATATTCTTGATGCAATCCAAAGCTCAAGCATTTTCCCATATTCTTAACTTTCTCTCCATGGTCCAAACACAATTCCAAACACGGGTTCAAAGGGTTAGGATTGACAATGCTTTAGAATTTTTTAACTAGCAATGCTCTTCCTTGTTCCTCTCCCACGGGATTCTCCATGAGAGTTTCTGCACTTATACTCCTTAACAAAATGGGATTGTTGAACGAAAACACCGTCACCTCTTAGAAGTAGCACGAGCCCTCAAACACCAAGCCAATATCCCTGCCAAATTTTGGGGCGAATGTGTAATTACTGCTACCTATCTCATTAATCGCATGCCTTCACGGGTTATCAGAGGTAAAACTCCTTTTGAATTACTATTTGGAAAGATACCTGATAACTCTCACTTACGTGTTTTTGGTTGTTTATGTTATTCCACAATAGTGGGTTCCCGTGATAAGTTTGCTCCTCGTTCCAGGAAATGTGTTTTCATGGGCTATCCTATGCTCCAAAAAGGATATCGCCTTTATGATCCTCAACTTAACAAATTCTTTGTTAGCAGAGATGTTATGTTTCATGAGAGTGTTTTTCCCTTCTCGGCAACTGACAATGTACTCGCTCCATCAGCTCCTGCCTTACTAGATCATCAGCCAGAGACTCCCATCACTATGGTTCCCATTCCATTTACTCATCCACAGTCTGAACATACCACTGCTTTGGATCCTGACTCCCCAGTTCCTGATCCAGCTCCAAGCTCTCCCCACACCACGGATCATTCCCAGGATACTCCCTCACCTACAAATATGGACTTTCTTCCTCCTTCACCAACTATTGTTCCTTTACGACGGTCTTCTAGAATGACCCGGCCACCTGTCTGGGTAGCTGACTACATTTGCTCCACTGTGAATGGTCCCACTTATCCCATATCCAATTATGTCAGTTTTGATCGCTTATCTCCTTACCACAGATTTTGTATGAGCAATATTTCTGCTGATCGAGAACCAGCCACCTTTTCTGATGCCATCTAGCATGCTTGTTGGCGTCAGGCCATGGAGACAGAATTAAATGCCCTAGTTAGCAACCACATATGGGACCTGGTTTCCCGACCCTTACATAGGAAACCTATTGATTGTAAGTGGGTCTACAAGATAAAATATCATGCTGATGGTTCCATCGAAAGGTATAAAGCTCGTCTTGTTGCCAAAGGCTTCACTCAACGGGAAGGATTTGACTATCAGGAAACATTCTCCCCGGTAGCCAAACATGTCACTGTCCTTACATTCCTTTATGTAGCTTCTCACCATGATTGGCCACTTCATTAGATGGACGTTCATAATGCCTTCCTTCATGGGAATCTTGATGAGGAGATTTATATGGATATTCCTCGCGGTCTTCGCAATCAGGGGGAGCATCTTGTATGTCGATTACAGAAATCTTTATATGGGCTAAAACAAGCATCACGGTAGTGGAATGCAAAATTCACAGAAGCTATCACAGCCATTGGATTCAGTCAATCCAAACATGATTATTCCTTATTTTCCAGACAACAGGGTGAGTCTTTC